TTTGCTCCCAGAGCTGTATTTTATTTATTGGCTTTAGTGTGTTTTCCAGCGAGATGGAGTCTCTATGAAATGAATCGTTCCACCTGGACCCCAATTTGCTCTCCAGATGGCTCAGCCCTCTTAAGCTCCCCTGGTATGATATATTTTCCCTGAGCTGCGATGGGTTTTCCCTGGGTCCTGGCTCCTCCCTGGCTGGCTGTTATTGACAGCTGCATGCTTAATGCCCTGTAGCTTTCTGGCACGTCATTCAGGAGAAACAAAAGCAGATTTCTCCCCCCAGCTCTCCGGCAGTGAGGATAAAGGGGATGGTTTTGTGCTTCCCCAGGCATTGCCAGAGAAGGGCTGAGCCTGCTTTGCGGAGGGGACCCGTCTCCGTGTAGTGTCCCGACGTGGATGGGAGCTCTCCCAGAGGGAAGTTGAGTCTTTGCTGGGTCCCACCTGGAGGACACAACCTGTGGGCCAGGTGAGGTTGGATATCTTGCACTAGTAGCTGGGGGGGCTTGACAAAAAAAAAAAAAAAATAGTATTTGCTGCTGTGTGGTATTTGGATGGAGAGGGTGACCTGGAGAGGAGAGTGCATGGGTGAAGGCAGTGGGGCAAATCCACTCTTTCTTTGGTGCTGGCATGGATTGTCTCATGGGTAGACAGGAGGGATGTGAGCTGGGGAAAGGCATTGGGATTAATTTGGGAGAGAGAGGGGGGGAGTGTCTCTTTGTAAGGAGGTCAGCCTGAGCTGTTTCTTCCCAGCACTGAGCCATGCAGAGCTGTGCGTGACCCTGATGGCTCGGAAACGTGTGTGGATCAGGAGAGAAGCAGGGATAAAGATGTGTTTGTCTTGGCTGGAGCCACGTGTGGCTGGGAAACGTGGAGTCCACCGTGTTCTTTGCAAAGGTGTCTCTAGAGACCTGCCTTTGTTGTAACTCCTCTAAATAATTTTGAACTTTTTTTCCCTCCTGTACACACCCTGAGCAGCGGTGTTTGGAGTGTTTAGAGCCTTCACACGTTCCCACAGGATTTCTTAGCTGTTTAGTTAAGGCTTGTTGTGCTGCTTCACTGTTCTTTAGGTCTCTGGAACATGGCAGAGGTGTTTTCCCCATGGCTGTGCAATTGTGGAAGCATAAAGGATACGGTGACACTTTCTCAGGGTGGTGGGTTGAAGATCCTCAGGACTAGATCTGGTTGTCCTAAGTCAAGGAGTGGTGCTGACTCTCTGCCATGCTTTTAAAACACAGGTGGTGGCATTGCTGGGACCCTTTTATTTAATATCCAGCTGGTGAAAGCAGTTGGGCAAGTGCTGGGAGACCCAGGTTCAATCCTGTACTCAGTCTTCCCACCCCCCAGCATCTGGGTCTGTTCAATATGGATGGGTCAGGGTGGGCTTTTGGGGAGAAGTGAAGGAAATTCGGACAGAGCCAACTTGTTAGTGGGTCTGGGACAGCGGAGGCAGAAGTTGAGGATTTGAGGTCTCTGATTCTCTCGCTGTTGGCAGAGATGGTTGATTCTTGTCACTATTTCAATGCCACAATGCTCCCCTGCTTTTCAGACCCTGACTCTGCAGGGAGAGGTTTTTTCCCCAGAGATTAACTCTTTACAGGTGATCTGGCTGGGGTCCCTCCACTGGAGCAGAGATCTCCCTTTTGGATGTGCAGCTATTTGTAGCCTCCAGGTTGAGCAAGTGATGGATGAGGAGGATGGGTCCTGCTGCCCACATTATCAGTGTGAACTGTTGGAGCTCAAATGAGAGAAGCCTGCTGTGCTTCATTGCACTTGCTTTATGAAAGATTTAAAATCATCTGGAGAACAAACCTAGCAGAAAGGTATGTCAGATGTAGACATCTCTTTTGGGCAGGTCATGTCATAGCTATCTTTGGCAAGTCTCAACCTCTGCTGCTTTATTTTCCTGTAATCAAACATCTGGGGAAACATGGTGGATAAGAAAAAGTCAAAAGTTTTTCTACTGAGATGGATTTAGACTGGAAATATCCTAGTGTCCATGACTGCTGTGGTTTGGAGGAAGTGTTGGTTATGGAGGAGGAACCATGTGTGCAGATGAAGGGGTAGGGTCTGACTATATTTTTCTGGAATCTCTGCTTCCTCATGGCACCGAGGAAGATGCAGAAACCATGATGATGTTCGACATGGCAGTCAGATATAGTTCTCTTGTCTCCTTCACTGCTTCTCAATCAGGATGCATCGAATGATGAAAGAAGAATCAAGTTTTGGGACAAGCAGCCTGGAAAATGCGACACGGGACCCAAACAAAGAAAAGTTGCACATGAAGCTCTGCAGTGGGTCCTGCCATGCTGAGCAAATCCTCCAAACGTTAAACTCCTACCGGCAGAGCGGCATCTTCACAGACGTGGTGCTATTAATTGATGGACAAGAATTCCCCTGTCACCGTGCCACTTTGTCAGCCAACAGCACATATTTCCGGGCCATGTTTGGTGGTAATCTCAAGGAAGGCCACCAGGATATCATTAATATCCAGAAGATTTCTGCTTCCACCATGTCTCTCCTTCTTGACTATATGTATGGAGGAAACATCATCATTCAGGAGGACAATGTTGAAGGCATCTTGGAACTGTCTGACTTGCTGCAGATCTCCAAGCTCAGAGATGCTTGTGTCACCTTCCTGGAAGGCCAACTTCACCCATGCAATTGTTTAGGCATCATGAAGTTTGCTGATTCATTCTCCATCACGTCCCTGACAGAAAAAAGCAAGAGGTTCATGCTGGAGTGTTTTGTGGAGGTGTCATGTCATGAAGAGTTCCTGGAGATGGGTGTGAAGGAGCTGGTTGAATATCTGTCCGATGAAGAGCTGGTGGTCCCCAAGGAGGAGGTGGTCTTTGAAGCTGTCATGCGTTGGGTACGGCATGACGTACCTGCCAGGAAGGGAGCCTTGAAGGAGCTCCTTGAGCATGTGCGTCTGCCCCTGCTCGACCCCACCTATTTCCTGGAGAAGGTGGAAATGGATGGACTCATCCAGGACTCCAAGGAATGCATTCCGCTACTGCATGAAGCCCGCAAGTACTACATCCTCGGGAACGAGGTCAGCTCTTTGCGATCAAGGCCCAGAAGGTAAAACTCAGCATCTTCTTCCCTAGACCTGCATGGCTTAAGTTGATGATGTTCTTGGGTTTTCTTTTTTTTTTTTTTCTTTTTTTCCTTCAATTGCTTCACTTGTGGCATCCCTGTTTCCAAAATGAGGGCATTGGAGATGTTTGCCTGGCTTAAAGGATTCCTGCGAAATTTATCCTAATGCAGGTCCCACCTTCTTTTGTTGGCAAGTGCTTTAGTCACACTGTCCTGTGCAATGATGCTCTCCAGATATGTGTCCAGACTACGAGCAGGAAGGGATGTTTTTAGCTCTTTATTTCTGGGGTAGAGCACTGTGTTGAGACCTGTCTTCCATTCCCAGCTCTGCCACTAGTCTGCTCTCATTTCACCTGTTTTGATCTCTCTCACCTTCTCCAGGCTGTCTGCAGGGTCAGGAATTTATGTCCAGTGAAAAAAAAGTAGGTGGCTACTGAGGCATCCCCATTTTTTTTTTTTTCTATTGATTTGCTGATGGAGAGCAAGAAGATAAAGAGATGCTGGCCCAGGCAGCTGCCAGTATAAAGTGGAAGAGGCAAAGCAAAAATGATTTATAGGGTTGGGTGTGTGTAGAAATCTGTCCCTTTTTGTCTATGTGAAGTTTGGATTTGATCAGCCACATTTCAGGTATTTTCTCTTTCTTTGTGGTCCCACTGGTCCCTTAGGGTGTGCTTGGTAAGACTACCGATGGAAACCTCTGCTCTGGGGTGGGTTGCTACATCAAACCGAGTTGGTTTGCAAGGCTCCTCATTTTTTTCAAAAGACACCCATGACCATGGGGCTGCAGACCCAGGTTCTTGTGCTCTCCTGCTCTTCAGGTTTTTTTGCTGCTCAGCAGAGCAGAAGGATGGAGGTGGCCCCAGTACACCTCAGAAGTCCCAGCCTGTAATTTAGGGCATGTTTCTAAATGGAAGAGATGGTTTGACACATCTTCTCTGCGCTGAGTACCACAACAAGCTTTTATATACAGAACTGCTCAACGACAGGGTTTGTGGTGGCCTCCTCAAGGATGCAAACAGCTAAAATCCACTGGGGACAAATCCCACCACCCAGACATCCACATTTTACCTCCCTCCTTTTACAGCTTTGGTCTTAAATGAATTGTCTCAGTTTGCACAAACCATGGCAGAGCTGGGGATTGGACCAAGTCTTTCAAATCCTCTTTCACCCTCCTCCTTCCTCTCCCCTCCCCTCCTGCAGAGTCGTTCCTCTCTTGCCACCTACTAGCTGGCAGGATTTTCCTTCCCCTGCTGTCTGTCGCGTCTGCTCGCTGCTATTAGGGCTGGAGAGAGAGAGAGAGATTTCCTGGAAACACTTCTCTCTCCAGGCAGAGAGCTTGTTGCAGGCGGGCTGCCAGGAACAGCTTTCCACGCTTGTGGTTGTGCCTTAAGGATTAGCCTCGATTGTGCTGGAAGGGGGAGGGCGAGTGGCAGGAGGCAATCTCATGAAGGACTTTTAAAGGTCGTTCCCATTTTCTTTCCCTGCACAGTTTGGACCCCCTCCCACCCAGTCTGGGAGGTGCCTTTGATTTGAATGCGCAGACAAAAAGGAAGGTGGAGGAGTGAAATGATTTGCACAGAAATCGGGAGCTGACGCAGGAGAGGATCCTGCTCTATCCATTGGACTGCCAATGTCCTAGATAGGATGGGAGGGATGATGGAAAGGAGTAGCCTGGCCCAGGGATTTACCCATGCCTTTCATGGTCTAGGTTCATGGAGCTGGCAGAAGTCATCGTCATCATTGGGGGCTGTGATAAGAAAGGTCTTCTGAAGCTGCCCTTCACAGATCTCTACCACCCAAAGAGCAGGCAGTGGACAGCCCTCTCCAGCGTGCCTGGCTACACCAAGTCAGAGTTTGCTGCCTGCACACTGAAGAACGATGTGTACATATCAGGTGAGATACCCTGGACCAGATGGTCCCCTCCTGGTTGCAAAGAACAGCACAAAGGCCAGGTTGGATGAGGCTTTGAGCAACCTGGGCTAGTGGGAGGTGTCCCTGCCCATGGCAGGGGGTTGGAACTGGATGATCTTTAAGGTCCCTTCCAACCCAAGCCTTTCAACGGCTCTGTGACCTCTGCTTGGACAGCCACTCCTTAGGTCTATTCACTAGGACTCGTTCACATGCATCCCAGCTCTGGAGCAAAGTCACTTCTTGGTGAAGTTCATCCTTAGATGGTTTGGATTTTGCTGTCCCAAGGAAAAAAAATCACCTTTGAGGAGGAGGATGGCAGTATTAAAGAACCTTTCCCTCCTGCTGGGCATCTGTCCAAAGTGTTCAGCTGTGGAATGAGCTGGTTTTGGTGCTTGATGTCAGAGAGGGTTTCCTAAAACATCGGAATCGCCTCCCTGCTCCTCACTTAAAATATAATGCCCAACAGATGAGTTCTATACAAGGGACAGAGCAGTGTAACAACTACCTTGAAGTCCAGACAGTATCTCCCTTGGGAAGCTGAGTTTACGTGGCCATAGCCCAATAACCCTATTCTGGCCTAAGTTGTTCCATTGCATCGAGGAGCTGTGCAATATTGTGGTGTAGTGATGCAATGGGGCTGTCCTTGGGATCGCACCAGCCCTCCATCCCTCTGTTTTTCAGGAGGACACATCAGCAGCAACGATGTTTGGGTGCTGAGCTCCCAGCTGAACGTCTGGATCAAGGTGGCTTGTCTGCAGAAAGGCCGATGGAGGCACAAAATGGCAACACTTCAGGGCAAGGTAAGCAATGGGCCAAATTTTGGCAGAAGCCACGTGGAGCACTGTCTCCCACTTCTCCTACTGCCCAGTACAACGAGAAGCTATCAGTGTGTGTTTGTCTTCTGGATCATTTAGAGATGATTTTGATGGGGGAACAAGTAGGACATAACCAAGATGTCATTATTTCAGTTGGGCATGTGTTGTCACCTGAAGTAGTCACAAATGAAGCTGTAGCAATAAGATCTACCATTGTGCAAGACTTCTACAGATGCCTGTGGAATGGTTTGGGTTGGAAGAGACCTTTAAAGGTCATCTAGTCCACCCCCAAAGTTTTACTGTGGCTTGATGGCTGTCTTTCTGGCCAAGTTCTGGCCTCTCCTCATATATGCCGTGACAATGCAGCTCATTAGATGAGTCCTGGAGTTTCTAATCATCTTGCTTCGCTCCTTTTGTGGCAGATCTATGCTGTGGGAGGTTTTGATGGGTTTTACCGCCTCTCCAGCGTGGAGTGCTATGACACGTTCTCCAACAGCTGGACAACCTTGGCCCCACTGCCTCAAGCGGTGAGCTCGGCGGCTGTGGTCTCCTGCCTGAACAAACTCTACGTCCTGGGCGGTGCTGTGGATGACACCGCTAACACTGACAAGGTATTGCTGGGGCACCAAAAATGGGCAGAGACCTAAAAAAGAGGTTTGCCAGGGAACGTGGAAGGAAATGGAGTTATCCGTAAACTACAAGGGTGACTTTTTTTTGAAGACTAATGAATGCATTCATACATTAAAATGGAAGTCAGTGAGACTCAGGGACCAGAAAGGGAAGGTGTCAGGAGTTGACGGTATATTAGGCGTGGTGTCAGTAGAGCCTGTTCTCCCCTTAAGCACCAGAGGAACAAACCTCTGACACCGTGGGCATTCGCTTTAGATAAGTAGCAACAGTGGTAACAGCCTGGAGGAGACCTCTGCAAGCCAGACATGATGCTTCTGGTCTCCTGAGCTGCAGGAAGAGCCATCAGTGCTTCTCAGCTCCATCTCTGAACACTCAACCATGTATTGTCTGGGTCAAGGGAATGCTAGAACCCCTTGTCCCTCTATTCACTGCATTGGTCTCTGGGTGTTGAAGCTGACATCTGTGTTTCTGTCCCCATGCAGTTTTCTTTCTGGTGCCTACCAGCTTCATCCAAGCAGGGAGATTGGTAAATTCATGTTCCCATAGTTACGTTTCTCCTCCCAGGTCCAGTGTTACGATCCCGAGGACAACAAGTGGACGCTCTTGTCTCCCACCCCTTTTTACCAGAGGTGCATCAGTGCCGTCTGCTTGGACAACATCATTTATGTTGTAGGTGGACTCCTCAGTAAAATCTTCAGCTATGATCCAAGGAAAGACAACTGGCGAGAAGTGGCCACCCTCCCTGGGCCTCTGGTAAGGAAGAGGTTTAGGAAAGAAGCCCTGAGCCTTCCCTGTCCAGAATAAATGCAGCCATCTGTGCTTTGGTGAGATTGAAGGCAAGGAAAATATACTGTGGCTTTGGCTCTGAGTGTGCAAACATGACCTCTGTAGAGCAACTCAAACATATACCTACTTACCATCAGTGTCCGTACTGCTTGGAGGATGTCTCTACCACAGCAAACCCAAGATTTCTTGCTGAGGTTGGGTCTACACTAGCTGCTAATGACAGAGGAGTGGATCTGTAGGGTGAAACCATTGGTATTGAGGACCTGTCCTCCACACTGTGGAGTCTCTAGTCTGGTCTGTGGACTGAACACGGACTGGTGGTGGTTGTGTATCATGGTTTAGTGTCACCATGGTTTTGCACTCCAAAGCCATGCTGCAGTTTGAGCTGTGGCACAGTGAAGTGGAATGAATGGACACATCCCCATCTGAGTCAAAATGCCCATGTCCACGCATCCTCATAAGTGGCTTTCACAGGGAGGTGCTGGCTGGCTTTCTGGGCTCTCTGTGTGCTTGTGAGTCTGTGCTGTGCCTGGGGGACTGCCAGAAATGGCAGTGGTCCCCCATCATTGGCTTGAGGCATTTCGAGTGCCTAAACTCTTATTGAAACAATATGATTGGAGCCCACCAAGAACCAGACCTCGCTTATCTTAGAATCATAGACTGGTTTGGGTTGGAAGGGACCTTAAAGATCGTCCAGTTCCCCCCCTCCACCCCCCCTGCCATGGGCAGGGACACCTCCCACTAGCCCAGGTTGCCCAAAGCCTCATCCAGCCTGGCCTTGAACCCCTCCAGGGATGGGGCATCCACAGCTTCTCTGGGCAACCTGGGCCACTGCCTCATCACCCTCGCAGGAAAAAACTCCTTTTGCTCCCTTCTGCTGGGAGGTGAGAGTTGAGCCCATTGCAATGACTCGCACCCCTGCTCAGCCCCCTTGCCTAAAAGCTGGGGGGCTTGTTCCTCAACTCTTGGGCTTTCCTTCTGCTTTCCAGGAGAGCTGCGGCCTGACAGTGTGCGGAGGGAAGATTTACATCCTGGGTGGCCGAGATGAGAATGGGGAAGGCACGGACAAAGCATTCACTTTCGACCCAGCGACGGGGAGCGTGGCGCAGCAGCCACCGCTGCAGCGCTGTACCAGTTACCACGGCTGTGTGACCATCCTGCAGCGCATGAACAGATGACCACAGGGCTCCAACTGCATCCACCTCCCACCCAGAGCCTCCTGTTGAGACAGCGGCCATGCAGCATGTGGACAGACATCTCATCTTTGTGTGGGGAAGGGCAATACAAGCCATCGAAGATGATGCACTCCAGCCAGCCCCTGAGCAGCCTCTGTTTTGTTTTTTCCTGGCCTCGTGATGCCGGTGGCTTTGATGCTGATCTAGGTCAGAGGATGAAAGGGTGCTGGGCTGCATTTAGCTGCATGGCAGTCCTTGCCAGAGCTGGATTCAACTATCCTTGCAGCCTCTGGGACTACTGAATTTGACCTTTGCGGAGGTTTTCCTGGTTGTAGATTAGAGTTTTCTGTTATGTTGGCAACAGAGGCTTGCTGTCCTCCCAGGACATGTATTTGCTGCTTTCTGATGCCTGAGACTGTTGCAGTAACAATTACAGCTACAGGATCCAATTCTTTAGTTAAGCTGTCATATATTTGTGCATTTAGCTCTTTAGAACCCTGTGTCAAACCATGGTGGTGACCTAAATGTCCATAAATGTCCATGAACAGTGGACACAAACTAGTCCCATTACAATGAAGAGCTGAGACTGAGCCTTCAAAGCCGATATCCCAAGAAAATTTCTCCACTAAATCCCCAAAAGCCTGGTTAAATAGTCTCAGCTCTCACTCCATTCTGCACATGCTGTATGAGGGTCTATTCCCCAAAAGCACAGACTGCTGTCCCTTTTCATACACATTTTGTGGTTGGACTGCTGTCTTGCTGTGTCTTTGTCATTGAGGACAAGCAGACCGTGTAGCCAAGAGTTTCTTCGTTGGAGAGCAGAGGTAGGGCAATATTAACGTGTAGGAATTAAGCATGAAGACCTGAAGTATGGTAGCCACGGACATGCATCTGGCTCATTTTGGCTCTGGAGTTTGCTAGCAAGTATTAAAATAAACTCAATATTTAACAGATTTGATACAGAGTCCCTGGGAGCCCGAATGCACAGCTCATTTGGAGGGCAAGCATTCGATTACACAGACTGCGTTGCTCCAAGCCAGTTGATCTCAAGTCTATAAATAATCCTGAGCACATTTGATTTGGTGGAATAGCCACAGCTTTTGGTGTCGGCGTCTTTAGCCCACGTCTGGAATTGATAATTTCTGATGGATCCATGCAGATGTTCACGCTGTCCCATGAGGGACTTAGTTGCTGCCAAATGTAGAGAGGGGGTCTCTTAAAAACTCCCATCACTTGTACATTGCAGGGTGCACCCCTCCACAGCAGGCTGCTGGCCGGCTGCTGTTTTCTCTGCACCTTCCTTTTCTCTCCCAGCGATGACTTTTTCCTGAAGTACAGAAAATGACAATGTCCACTGCCCCAGATACTCCTTGGGGTTTTTTAGTTGTGTTGTGCTTGTTTCCCCTATATAGCTGGTTTTTATGTGGACCTCTTTAGTACTTCTGTGTTCTGTCAATTCTGGGAAGTTCACCTCTTCTTCTTGATGTTATCAGGCTTACTTGTAAAATATGACATAAAAAAGTCCCTGATGAAGAACCAAAATGGGCTGTAATCGGGGCATGCTGATTTACTCTTAGGGTGGTGCAACACTGGCACAGGTTGCCCAGGGAGGTGGTAGATGCCCCGTCCCTGAAAACATTCAAGGTCAGGTTGGATGGGGCTCTGGGCAACCTGATCTAGTGGAAGATGTCCCTGCTTACTGCAGGGGGGTTGGACTAGATGACCTCCATGGTCCCTTCAAACTCAAACTATTCTATGATTCTATGATCTCCTCTTCTCTTCCATGGGTAGAGAAGAGGATATGAGTGCTGGTAAAAGACAATTTTCTTTGCAATCAAATTGCATCCACCACTGGGTCTTTAACGGGAACGGAGATTTCAGGAGAAACCGGCACCTTTCCTTCGGTTAAATTGGCACAAAGGAAGGCATGAGCCCATCAACCCACGCTGTGATAGCCTTCAGGGCCAGAGAGACCTTCATCCTCCTATAGCCTGATTTCCTGAGGACCACAAATCACAGTCCATCTCTCCTCCCCTGTTCTCCCTGTGCCTTCAGCAGTTCACCTCTTTGGTATGGGCACCCCTTCAAAGTGTGTGGCTTCAGACCCTGTAGCTCCACCTTGCCCCATGATTCATATGGCCAAGGTGGTTCTTAACTTTCCTCAAACTGTCCCGTTAGCACGTCCCCCCTCTTGGTCTGCACTTTGGAGAACACTGCTGGTGTTCAAGAGAACGAGCGCACCCAGAGCTTGTAAGGGCAGGCATGGAGCAAAATCTGCTCGGTTGAGGATGGTGAGCAGCACGAGGAATCAGGACTTCCTGATTGAACATCCTCAAAAGGGATGGTCCTCATGCCAAATTTCTGCCCTGCCTAAGGTATCTAGAACAGGACTGTGAACACAAACATATTTTGCTTGGCTGCTCACAGATCTTTGTGCTCTTGTTCTTGAAAAAAGCATAGTAACATATTTGGATGTAGCAATAGCCTTGATAGGAAAAAGGAAGAGTTTTCCTGTTGCACTTACAACTTATTTTTCCAGTCTTTCCTGGTTTTCCTAGTGCCTCCTAGGAGTCTCTTGCTGTACTTCACACCTTGTTCCTGTAGAAGTAAGCACACTTAAAAGGGCAGAAGATATTCTCATCACCTTTCCTGTGTGTTTTGACACGTGTGGTGGGTTGCACTAGGTGTAAGGTGGTGGTGGAAGTTGTGATAGAAATACTAAAACGTTTGCCTCATTCTTGATCCTGATATTCATTATATCACCGAAATGTGTTTGTATTTTCTAAGGGCTATGAGCTGTGGACGTGCAAGGGAGGGTTAGGGAAGGAATTTAGGGTGGTAAATAAATAGGTAAATAAACCCATGCAAGGGTTTTATTTAGAAATAAATACTCACCTTGGCTCATAAGTGCTTTTGCTGCAAGAATTTCATTTATGTGTATTGCTTTGCGGTATTCTAAAAATATATTATTGATGGAGTATCAGAGGAGCTTTGGGAGCACCCTCCTTGAGGTGCCTCAGCCTTTGTTTGGAATGCCTGAATTCTCAGTCTAAGTAAGGAGGAAGTTCAAGGTGTTGCTTTTTGTGTGCAGGGAATGATATCTATTAGATGGGGTCATGGCCAAGTCAGTGCAGAGGTGTTGGATCATTCAAACTCAGCTGAAGGACGCGGAAACTTGTACTCATATTTTGGCATGATGGAAAGAGCATTTCCAGAGAAAATGAAAAATTCTTTGTCTTGGCTGATTCTCACTTTTCCTTGGTGTGACAGAAGAACAAAGTGTGAAAATGTGTGCCACTACAATCTGCTTCAGTTTCTGAGAAGACTTTTCTCAGACGACACGTAAAGCACCACAATGTAAAACACATTGCTGTGTTTACAGTAGTGCATAGACTTGCCGTGGGAACTCCGTATAGCAAAAGATGTAGAAGAAAGTAGTGATCACCTGCAAAGCACGCGTGGTAGTTTCAGCTTTATGTATTTAAACTTTTAAAAACAAAATAAATTACTGCTTTTTTTTTCTTTTTTTCAGTCCAAACCAACCACTGTCAAGTCGTTCTTAAACCACCCCTTCTTCCCCTCATCCTTTTGGTTTTCCTGCTGCCTGTCTCAGCAGTTGTGTTATTTTGGGTGTGTTTGTGTTTTGGATGGGAGCCAGAGGGATGAAAAAGCTTTTTGTGAACAAATCACATAGATGGTGTTGACAGCAAGATTTCCAGGGACTTTTGTCCATGACACACAAACTAGAAGAATTATAAATACCCTGGAAGGCAGGGCTGCTGTGGAACTCAAGCTGAACTTGTTGGTAGACTTTGCTACCTAGTAAAAAAATGCTTTTTTCGTGAAGTCAACTTGCAACCAGGCAAGAAACAAATGCCACCCAGAGCTTGAGAAGGGTTCTGTGGAGCAACATCCAGAGAAGGATTTGGTGGCTAAAGTGGAGAAGCAGCTGAAATAATTTCCAGTGTGACACTGTTAGCAGAGATGTGATTATGGGATGAGCGAGCAGAGGGGTGACACAGAAGGCTGCATTGGGTCACTGCTGTCACTGGGGTGGAGGAGGGACTGTGGGAGCAGATCTGCTTAGTGGAGCATGCGAAAATCCTGAGGAGCAGAGTAAAGCCATCAACATCATTCAGGATAAGGATTGCATTGTGCACAGTCTGTGATATTTAGCAGAAAGAAGGCACAAACAATTTTGATACCAAGTCCTGATGTGTTGGGAGTCATGTAGGTACCTTCACAGACGCTGCTGGGTCCTTCAGTTCCCCAGCAAGCAAAACCCAACTGTGGAAAGATCAGGTCATGGAAATCTAAGCAAGGGTTTATATACCAGAGCTGAGGCTCATAAGTTTCAGCTTTCACCCATCAGAAAGTCCAGTGTACTCATCAAAGATAGAAACTGGAGCCTCCTCCAAAGTCCCTAGGGAGAAGGGCCCCCTCTAAAGAGAGTCAAGCCCCTTGCCTTAGATAGTCAATTAGAGCAAGATGAGTAGCCCACTGGAACTGCCTCTCACTCTTGGTGGGCTTGAGAGAGACTTTGATGGCTACTTTGAAGTAGTAGTTCTCCTAGAGGAAGCCTCTCTTCTACCCTTCGAGTCCTCTACATCAAGACTAGATGCATTTTTGAAAGAGATGTTTGAGTTCTACCCAGATTATCACAATTCTGGGAACTGTGATAAATGAAGGAGAAATTATAGCACTCGTCTCAAAGAAACTTTGAGCCTGCTGTTGCATGGAGTGACATCAGCTGCCTCCAGCTCTCATCTGCTGTGGCATCATGGAGAGGGCTGTGCTTCATCAGGAGGCAAGAGACATTTTTCACCACCCAATGCTCTCTACATAATGCAAGGCTAAGATAGTTGCATTCAGGCAAAGCTTTCTTATGGGAGGCTTACTCATGGCTTACTTGTAGGAGATGACAACAGCTCCCACTGCTTTGCCATGGGCTGGGGTTGGTCTACACCCACCACTGACTTCCACAGACTTAGTCAGAGACCACC